CACTAGGGCTTCATCAATCATTAGCCCTAGGTTTCAACAGATTCATTTTTGATCGAAAGTAAAACAAATAACCAAGGCTTCGTCAATCATTAGCTCTTGGTTTTGGCATGCTCAAATCAAATCACGATTTAGTCCAAATAGATGTAATAACTAGCAGCTATTATCAAAGCTTTAACACTTGTGAAAATCACTCAAATGGCCAAGGGCTTCATCAATCATTAGCCCTTAGCATCCAACAATTATTTATTATTGCAATCAAGCCAAAATTTCGAACGTTTAGAATCACTAACAGGTATATGAACATAAGGCAAAATTTACAATCATATTTTGTCCAAGATCTCAATTAGAATCTCATTACTCTTAACCAAATGCAGATTTAGACATTTCTCAATAATTATATTCCAAAATTATTCCTTTCAATGCCGATAAATTCATCTCATCCTTGAGGCCATGATAAGATCAAATTGTCACCCCAAACTTCTCATGCACGGCCCTCTTAATATGTTCTTGAGTGGGGTTAATAAGCATGAAATATTTTACAGCTCAAAACAGCATTTTTAGAACTAAAATTCGCCAAAAGAAATTTGAAAAAAAAATTCCTTTCTTCCACTGTTGACTAAACTGAAAATTTTCCAGCACTTTGCTTCACCACTTTCAACCAAATTATCAATTGTATCAAAAGTTTCACATCTACACAGCTTATTAGATGTAAAAACGCACATTTCTCATGCATTTCTAAACCATTTAATTCTAAGGAAAAATTTTCCAGAAGCAAGTGAAAATTTCCAGCTCCTCCTCTCGGTTTCCAAAATTTTCCATCAACTCATTAATCTTATGTCCAATTTTCCTTTGGCTAAAATAGGTTTTAGGCACTCAAGTCTAACATGCAAACACTTAACTAGCTAGTTAACATTTTAGCTCAAAATCAAATTCGATTAACAACTACATTTATCCCAAAATCCGGAAATTTGTCCAACTAGCCTTGGTTTAGCATGCATGTAGCAGATTTCTATTTCATTTTCTTTTTCTGATTTAATCCAATTAATTAGCTATGTGCAGAGCTTAATTATCTTGTTTGATCACCGCTAATTAATATTGTGCAAAGCTTAAATAATCAGATTTAATCCAAAGTTCAGTTCGGTCATCATCAAGAAAGAAAACATTAACCAGGATTCTATTTCTTTCCCCTCGGATGACTTGCATGCTACAGATCCTACTCTACTAAATTTTCTGGCTTCATCAGAGCTATGCAGCCTCATGCAAGGCATAATCATCCCATCTATAATTAGCTAATCATACCTCTAAGCTCAGATTGCATCGAATTAGCAGATTGAAGCTACAGATTTCCAATTGGCCTCGGGTGATCTTGCATGCAACTGATTTCATTTCAATTTTTATTTTTCTTGCCTAACCGATCTAACTATCCCCATGCAGGACTTAATCACTTAGTTTTTAGGTGATTAATCATAACTATAAGCTCAGATTGCCTCAGGGGAACCAAATTAAAGCTGCAATTCCATTTCAGCTTCTCGGCAAGCCCGTTTCTTCCAGATTGGATTTTTCTAATGCTTTGATTTCATCATCCGGGAGTATAAGCTTCACATGCAAGCTCTTAAACTGTTTCATCCACCCATAATTAGCTAGCCTAAGTCTAGAATTTTTACCTCAGCTGGGAACTCAGCTCACGCAACAGGAACTGAAATGTTTCTTTCTCGGCTGGCTCTCGGGCAGCACAGGGACACAGCCGCCAACTCCCTCTCTTGCTCAAGTTTGCACGCGGAATGGAATGGAGGATGACCGCAGATGGTTGAGATTAGGAAAAAAAATGTCGAAGGAACTCACTCAGTGTTCCTCTCCTTTCTTCCCTCAGCTCGCGGACAGAACAGAAAATTTTTTGCAGCTCACGGTTTCCCCTCTTTTCTTTCCTCTTCGATGCTCACGAGGTAAGTCTCTCTCTCTCCCTCTTTTGTTCTTGGTCCGGAGCAGACTGGAGTTGTGGAGTGCAGTTGCGGTTTTGAGGGAGGTTGAGTGCATGAGAGGTTGAGTGTAGAAATGGTAGAAGGTTGCATTGGCCGGATGGTGTGGTGAGTGATTATGTTGTCCGGAAATGTGTTTGGATTGCATGGTCATTTTGAGATGGTATGGAGGGCATTTTAGTCTTTTCACATCTCCTCCTAATATCCACTTGAGTTCCTTAATTCTAACTTAACTCCAAAATTTTATCCCGAATATAGATTAAGCTCCTAATAATACACTAATCTTGCAAGGCTTCAATTATCGTAAATTTCATGTTTATCTATAATTTGTTGATTTCATCTTAATACTAAGGTTTCTATTAACCTTTATCATTGTTAACGATTAAAGTTTAGCTATCGAAATTTGGAAAAAATTAATTATTAACTAAACGAAATAATTTTACCTTCGAAATATTAATTTAATATAATAAAACTAAGAAATTTAATAGTTTAGCACAATTATTTTATTTTGCACACAAAATTTATTTCTACTCACTTATTTAAAAACACTTAGATTTAATGCTAAAATTTATTAAGGAATTACAAATGCAAAATGAATTATGCACTGATATTTATATATATTTTTTCAGGGTTCTCACATCAACCCGTAATCAAACGAATTAGCGAACCTCAGGCAAGTATAGAAGGCGCCACAATTCAAGTGTGGTTCTTGAATTGATAAGCCAAATAAGAACACTAGAGTAAAACTCTAAGTTGTTCAAGGTTTGCTCGAAAGCTATGGAGAAAACTCTCTCAATATTTTTATCATAAAAGTGTCTACCTTTGTGGGAGTAATGGGGTGCCTTATATAGGCTACAAGTAAACCCTAAACTAGTAAGGAAAAGGAACTAAAGGTGTGCTAATATGGGCCCTCGATGGATCGGGCCTCATGTGGGCTTTCCCTCCAAGGCAGCTCACCTTAACAAATAATGATGACTAAAAAGTAATCTTCCCTTGGCATTTCTATGTGCAACATGCACTTAGCCAATTATTCAATCTAATCAACTAATGTGGATTTAAATGACTATAATGTGAATCTCACTAACTAGGGTTTGATAAGACCCTAATACTCAGGTGTAGCTTCAATGCTCAATACCGGACCGCGATCACCTTCACTTGAGTGTACGAATCCTTCAAAGGACTTGTGTATGGCCTGAATAAGTACACTGAGTTGCTCACAAAGTCTCTTTGCTCGAGCTCTAGTAATGGATCCACTTGGAGCTTGCATGTGATCCTCACCCCCTTGATCACTCGAGCCATTGTAGACGTGGTCACGTACTATGATGCTATCAGTGGTACTTAAGACTTGAATACATATGATTGGTAATTGTACATGAACACGTTTAACTCGTGAGCTCTGAGCGGAAGCATGTACCACACCGATTCGGGTGGGAGGTGCCTCTCATACCGTCTCAGTGCTAAAATCGGTTCCCTGAGCGATAGCATGTACCACACCGATTCGGGTGAGAGGTACCACTCATGTCGATTCAGAACCATAAATGTATAATCGATTCCCTAACCGATAGCATGTACCACACCTATTCGGGTGGGAGGTACTTCTCATGTCGACTCAGGATCATAAAAAAGTATAAGTCAATTGGAGTGATGTCTCATCGACCACTGAGCGATAGTATGTACCACACCGATTCGGGTGGAAGGTACTTCTCATGTCGACTCAGAACCATAAATGGAGTAAGTAAAATTCTACGGACTTAATTACCTACCCGGGTGACGGAGTGTCATCACGAGGAGGTATTGGATTGAACTTTGGCAAAGCAAGTGAAAATTAGCTCTTGAGAGCTCCTGTATCCCCATTGAATGTGTTTAATTGAAAATCGTGAATTGCTTGAATGCTACAGCTTTAATTCTTGCTTAAATGCTATCACTACCTGAACTATGTGTTTTGCATGTTTTCTTGGCCTCACGAGCATCCGCTCACTCCGTTAGATTTGTTTTCCTTAACAGAAGTTGATCTGGAAAGGATTATGGAAAAAGCCTACTTGATGGCTCTTTTGGCTAGAATTTTGGAATGTATTTGTCTAGACATCTTTTGGGAAGTTGTATATTTTGGAAAGTGGATGTATTTTAAACTTGTGGTGTAAGATTGGATATTTATGTATGGAAATGATTTCGTGCCTTTATTCTGATTTCATTGTTAGTATTGTACCTTAAGTTTGAACTGGAATTGTACTGAGTCCTGGCGAGAGCTAGGCAGGCGTTCCGCCGATTCCCTTTGGTTCGCTTTAGGGAGAAGTGGGGGCGTCACAAATACCCATTGTTAGAATGTGAAAACTTGTAAAATGAATTTCCCTGGACTTGAATCACTGGATTCTATTTTCGTATCATTGGCTTTGCATATCCTTAATTATGATCATCATATTGTTCATATTTATTTTTGTTTCATGAACATGGTTTTCAAATTTAGCCTCCAAAATTGAAAAACATGACTCAAGTGGTCTTGTTTGAAAATCGAGTGGATTGATATGTTTTTGTGCATTTGATTGGTCTCTCCACCCTAAATTTGGATGATTCTTTCAACCGGAGTTGTAAGTGTCTGAAAAAAGATTATTTTGAGGTGGATGATTGTTGTTGTTAACATTATGAATTTGCTCAATATGAAAACAATTAGCACTATCATGATTACCACCACATATTGAATAATAAACGATACTTACATGAGAATTCAAACCATTTTCCCCTTGTTTACTTAGCAATCTCTCAACATTATCCATTCGAGAATTAAACATGTTTTCTAATTTAGCAGTTAAGAAGTTGAGAGTGTCAATTTCAGACATACTAGCCGCACTTCTTGAGTTACTTCTTTCATTTGTTCATTGATAGTTATTAAAGGCCATTTCCTCTATGAAAATTTGAGCATTCTCGGTTGATTGTTTCATTAAAACTCCATCAGCGGTGGCATCTATGTTGATTTTGGATGGGTAGTTAAGGCCATTATAGAAAGTTTGAACAACCAACCAATTAGGAAGACCACGGTGAGGACATCTTCTTTGAAGATCTTTAAATCTCTTTCAAACTTCACATAACGACTCACCTTTATGTTGAGTGAAACCTGTCATATCCATACGAAGTTTAGTCATTTTTTCAAGAGGAAAGTATTTATTTAAGAATGCTTTTGTCAACTCACCCCAAGAAGTAAAAGTATTAGGTGGATAAGAATTAAACCATGCCTTTGCTTTATCACAAAGTGAAAAAGGAAACAACCTTAACTTAATTACATCATCACTTACTCCATTTATTTTGATTGTATCACATAAATTCATAAATTTAGCTAGATGAGTGTTAGAATCCTCCATTGCATTTTCTCCAAATTGACTTTGTTGAACCATTTGGATGAGCAAGGGTTTGATTTCAAAGTTGTTTGCATTGATTGTCGGGCTTGCAATGCTAGTTTGTGCCCCTGATTCATTGGGCAAGGTGACGGGTTATTGATACAAGTGCAAGTTTAAATCCAAAATGCACCTATTTGACCGCACATATACAGGTCAAATAGTAATTTATGGCATATATCGCGTCTGTGAGGACTCGCAAAATTTACATATTTAATCTCCTATTTCTAATTTATTTAATTATTTATTTGGTCTTTTATTCCGAATATTATTTTCTAAGCTCTTGAGACCTAATTACATGAAAATATAGTTTCATTATATTTTTTAAAGTGACTTGTTTCAAAAATTAATTTTCGAGAGCTCGTTTAGTGAAAATAGTAAACACGTCTTTGGAAATCTTGACCGATTGAGAGTACAATAAGTTTGGAATATTAGAGACATGTACAATGGACCTAAATTAGGTATTTTAATGTTTAAATACTCAAGTTATAGTTATTAGTACTATCGTTATAAGAATTTCTCGGAAGTTTCGCGTTATCGCGCTTAAATTGGAGATACGCGTTTTCACACGCGCGATTTAAATTGAGGAACGTTAAACCCTTATTTTAGGATAATTAAGAGTGAATAATATTTATATGAATATAAGTGCATTAGAGGTTTAGTGTACTAGTGAAACAAACGCAAGAGGAATCGAGCCCGAATCGCGCCAAACGCACCCTAATGTGAGTTGACTAATGGGTGATTTGTGGCCACAAGTTAGTATCTTCTCTTGGAAGCTAAAATCTGATCACTCTCTCTCTCTCTTGAGCTCCAAACAGCCGGCCAGCTTTCTCTCTCTCAACCTCCAAGTTTCAAAATTTCTTCTCACAAAAACCTCACCAAGCTTCATCCAAATCGTACCAAATTTCATACACACTTAGATCCACTCTTGGACACCATTTTGAGCTGCAAAAAGGGTGCTGGAAATCACGGTTTCTTGGAGCATTTTGAGGGCCAAAAATTCTGATCTAGTACATTAAGAAGGTATAACATGATCCATCACCTTAAACTTGATTTATGGTGGTAGATATGCATCTCTAAGCACTTGCATGTAAGTAGATGACTTGATATTGTTGGAAAAATGTGAAAGTGGGCTCTATGAACTCCCACTCTTGGGTTGTTGCTGATTTGATGATTGATGATGGATATATTGTTGGTTTAGTGGTTAAAATGATGGATTAATGGTGTGTAATTAATAGAAACTTCATTGGGTGCAAGAAGCAAAAGTTTCCGATTTTACCCCTGCCTTGTCCGACCACTTATGTGCAAAATTTTGACGTTGTAATGGCTTGATTACATTGTTTACATGTTATATTGGTTGTGTACAAAATTTCATTGAAAAATAACATGATTTGGTTGGTCAAATGAGTTGATTTCCAAAGTTAGCAAAACTGGAAAATGAATCCCGTATTGCCCAGGCAGTCATTTTGTATCAGCCACAACTCTTTGCTCCGATGTCAAAATCAAGTACCGTTTGTGGAATTGGAAACTAGACATTCCCAGCTTTCCATTGGTACCAAATGCACATTCTGGTTCCACTTGAGTGAGCCACACCATTCGATTGAAAATCACTGTCCTGTTTCGTTTCTCTCCAGGAGACAGGACAGGACTTGTATCTTGATGCTCAAAAACGAGCTGTTTGTGGATAGAATTTGAAAATGTTTCCTTCTGATAAAATTCATATTTATGAATGTATTTTCCAACGCCACCAACCATGCTCAATTCCAAGTTGAATTGAGTGAGTTGTGACCAAAGTTTGAAACTGACTCAGTTATGAATTTTTTCATTTTGGACTGATCTTTAACTAATCTTGGTTTGGGACTTGTACTTGAAATTCTTGGTGTTAGTCACCCACAAATTTTGTTTTGAATGCCTCTTAGACATTTTCTATGCTGATGGACCGTGTTTGAGGTACTTTATAAGCTAAATGTTTTGAAAACGGAAAACGGAACTCACAAGGCAGATTTGCCTTGGAATTTTTGAAACTTTGGTGTTTTGGTTAATCAACTTCCCATGCTTATTTATCCCTGAAATTTGGCATAGAAATATTCCTTATACGATAGTATTATACTGCTAATTTTGGTTCCATTCCGAGTCCATCTCGGTGTTCAATCAAAGTCCCAAAGTTGTGAATTAAACCTGGAATTTACTTAACAGTTTCACATTTTCACTAACTTTGAGCTACCATATCTTGGTGCTCAAAACTCCGATTCTTGCTCCGCTTGTTTTGTTCTAAACTTTGATTGTAACTCTAATTGAGTTACAAATTTTGGAGGCTGATTTACAACGTGTGAATTTTACCAAATTTTCAAAGTTGCCCAAAAACCAATCTTGAAACTGTCTTGGTATTCTAAAGCAATAACTTTGAGCCAACTTTTGAATGTCATCCATTTGGAATCATGGAAAAGTATATTCTAAGAACTTTTATTACTTTTGAAGAGGTTTCCAATGGTATTAAGTTTTCCAATTTTGGATCTATATAATGCAAGATATGATGTTTCTAAAATCGATACCCAAAGCTGAAATTTGTCAATTTCTTAGAAAATAAGATTTTTGAAACTTGCCTTCTTTTCTCGATATCAATTGAACATTTTGAACTCGATTTCATTAAAAAATGCTAGTCTTTCTCTTTAGAGTTTAAAACTTCACTCTTGAGTCTCGATTATGAATAATTAAGACCCAATTCTTGAATTCTCTTTAGATTGTACAACCTTCTTTGATAAGTAGGGGTTCTAAGTGATAGTGTATAATAGTTGATGGTTAATTGCTCAGGCGCTCAAGAAGACCTTCAAGAGGAATTCGAAGTGGACGCCCAAATGCTTGTTTGAGTACTTAATCACTTGTTTTGAATAGGTGAGTGTTCCATATAGGAATACGTAATTGAATAAGTCTAGGATATGTTTATTTCATGATTATTAAGTGTTAAGTACTATGTGTTAAGTATTTACCATACTCATGCCTATTTAAGGAATGTGTACTTGCATTGCATATTTACATGAATTGGTTAAATGATTAACCATATCAAATGACCATATGAACTCGATACATGTTTAACTTGTTAGATTGCTTGCCTAGCCTACTTGGTTTTGAAAAATGGAGTTGAGTGTGTATTTTATCGCACTCGTTCTCTTTTGAAATGAATAACTCATGCTTGGAAGTGCTCCAATAACATGACTTGGTATACTATGGTTGCATACGTCGTTGGAGTGAATCTCCTCGACGCTCACATGGTAAAAATGGGATAACGGTCAATGATGGCCTATTCATATGACAAATGCCTGTCAATTGACCGTCACTACTCAACCGTTAACCGTGAACCGTGAACCATTTACCAACCGACATTACTACCTGATTACTTGACTATTTGCTCACATGATTTCCAATCTACATGACTATTCGATATCCGTGAATTACATGCTCCCATGAAATTCACTTGTATTGCTTACGTGCTTACGTGCTAAGTATCCACTTGATTACTTGATGATTATGAATCACATGTTATATGAAACTGTCCATCATTGTTAGGCGAGTGTGTATTTTATCTCACTCGACCTACCCAAATGATGAATTTTAACCTTTTGTCGAATTACTTGGTTACCTGTGCATGTTGTAAGCTCTAAGCTGAACTGGGCCCTGCTCATGGTTACTGACCTACTCGAGCCAGGACTGGGCTCGGTCGGGTAGGTTGGAACCTTGGGTCACCGTTTCGGTATACTCGAGTATTACTACTGGAGGGATAAGGTGATGGCCAGTCAAACCGAGGGGATCCGGAAGTCATAAGGTGCAGATGACCGACAGAGTTCCACTGGAACACCGTATCCTACAGTATATGTTTACCTTGTAGCATGATAATTGTTTCATGCTAAAATGTCAACATGAAATCCTGAGCCATGCCTGCGATATGCTCCATACCTGTTACCTGTTTAATGTACTCATATCATGATACCTGTTTCATGTTAATGCTTCATACTTGTAATATGCTTAATTACTCGCACCGGTACTAAGCTCCAATCACTCGTGAACTATACATGCCAATGTCTTGAACCATGATAACTGTCTCATGATAAATGTCTCATACCATGATACGTGTCTCAAATTAACCGTACAATGATTATCACCTCATGATAACATGCCATTGTGTAACCTTGAACCATGCATATGATATGCCCAACGATTTATTTGAACTATTAAAGTGTCTTGGAACCTCGCTGGGCTGTGTAGCTCATCCCACGTTGTGGTTTTCTTTTACAGGGTTCGAGACCAAGGGTACTCGTGAGTAGTATTAGATTGTTTTCTTTTGAAGGTTTTAAGTTATATTATAACGGATGGCTATTGTACCCTTTTCCGTTGGGTTGTATTTAAGCTTGGAAAGCTACATAATTGTAAGTGTGAGATATTTGAAGTACTTTAATTATGTATTGAAGTTACTTAAAGTATTTCGGGCTTTTGAATGATGGATTGTAGTGAGTCCTGGCGAGAGCTGGGCAGGCGTCCCGCGGATACCCTTTGGTTCGCCTTAGGGAGAAGTGGGGGCGTCACAGTTGGTATCAGAGCTTAGGGTTCAGATCTTTGTAGTGTATCCTAGGCTTAAATGTTTAGGATGCCGGACTGTGGGACTATTCTGAAAGTTAAATGATTGCTTGTAGCGATGAAATTTAGAGCCACTTCACGTGGTCTCTACAAAGGAGCAAGAGAGGACCAAGTGG